CTACCTTCCAGTTTACGAATAGCAGATTGCAATATTCTCAGAGAGATTTCTGTACAACCAGAAAATCTGTAAAAAACATCAGCAAGCAAAATATTTTTTTGCTGATTTGAGATTAGTTGTTCTGGGAATCTCACAATCACATATTTATGAACTGGGAGTTTGGGAGTATTTCATTTTAGGTGCTGTACATTGAATTAAAATAGCCACAAATGCTTAAAATCTAAAACATATTAAACAGAAAAGCTGGGAATTCAAACAGGGCCTTCAGCATCCGAAAAAGAATATAAATAGACATGATGTGTAGCTCTTCATCAGAACTGAAAAGCTGGAAGAGCCCTTGAATAAGATAGAGGAGAGCAAGAAAGCACAAAGAAAATTGTTAACATTGATTCCATCAGGAAACTCAGTCATTAGCAGGCTTTAGAAAGCCTGTTAATAGGAGGCAGAGGAAATGGGCAATAGAGCTGGAGGCAATGGAAGGAAGTGAAATATCAGTGAGGATCAGAGGGATAAAAAAGAGACAGAGGAAAAACAAACACTGGGGAATCGGTCCCTGTTTGTTGTTCATCCAGGGAAAATGTTTATCTTTAGGGAATCTATCCTCCTTCACAGCCTGATTGACAGGCATTCTACCATTTACTGGGTTTCATACAATAGTTTTAATTGGGAGGTTTACACTCTGTTGTTCAGTTTTCAGAGGTATTCCCAAGCAGCTCATTCCGTCTTTAGGGAAGCGGATACAAGCGGATACATATCTAGGCAGCAATTAATTAAGAAGGGATTACCTCCCTTTTGCTTCAATTGACTTTATAAATCTGCTTGCTTCCCATTCCCGCTCTTAAGGTTTCATCAAATTCAGATTTTGGATAGAAAATGTGGAATATAATCAATTATATTCGAAGCTGACTGAAGGTGCAGTTAATGAGAGAGGGTTTCCAGAGCAGAGAGGGAGGATTCAAGATGAATGGATTAAGAGAGTGTTTCAGAGAGCGGGAGTAAAATGGTTGAAAGATCACATGCCAATGGTGGATAAGAGTTGAAACGGGACATGAATCAGGCCAAAATAGCATAGCGAGGGGAGTGAGCAAGGATTAGGATCACAGGAGATCACAGAAATAGGGTCATCTTGATTCAATTAGTAGCACTTTCCATATGTGGGTTCAAATTCAATATCAGCACTTTGAGCTTGTAGCCTAGGCTTATACTCTGCTGTATTGCTGGGGTGTACTGCATAGTCGGAGGTCACATGAGATGTCCTCCTTCACATCAGATGTTAAATTGAGGTCCCATCTGCCTGCTCAGGTGGTCATTAAAGATCCCATGGTACTACTGGAATGAGAAGGGAGCTTCTCCAGGTAATCCTGGCTGACAATCACCAAGTTAAAATTGATCATTCACTTCATAGCTGTCTGTGGGATATTGCTATGTGCAAATTGTCTGCAGGGTTCATCTACAAATACAAAGTCACTAGTGAAGCCCGTGAAGTGCTGCTGCCTTGCTCCCATCCATCTCTTCATTCTTCTCTACTTTTTTATCGTTTAGTTTGCAGAATACTACTGTAAGTCTCTTATGATACACAGCAAGCTTTAATTTCCTTAGAATTCTGCTTTTGAACTGAAAACCAATTCCCTTATTTGACCCTTCCGTGTGTCCAAGTCATTTCTCAGCGACGGAATCATTATGCTCCTCCCAACATGAAAGATGCTATATAAATGTAAATTGTATTGTTTTGTCTCCCAGCCAGATCTCAGCTTTCCCTTTAATGGTCATTTGTGCTTTTTTTCCGTTCAGTCAATAGTATTCTAAAAATGTATTTGCAATTTAATTTTGGAATCAAATGCTGTGCTCTATATTTATATTCCCCGCGGAAACACTTTTAATCATTCAAATTGCACTTGCCTATTGCCTTTGCGCTTTATTATCCCCAGCTTTTTAAGGACCTTAATCTAAAACAAACTAGTTTGCTGTAATTCAAGTTCGATGGAGCTATTACACTAAACGACAGTTCTTTGCAACATCAGGTCCAAGAAAAGCTTTCATTCTGTTATATACATGTGAGGAACATTATGCACATGCTTAAAATGTAATGCTCTTATGTGTCTCCAGGGGTGCCTACAACAACTCTACAAATTTCTGTACTTTTCAAGACCACATTTTATCACTGTCAAGATAAGCTTCTTTACTTCAATACGTTACCTTTAGGTACACACAGGAGTTTACAGTGCACATTTCACACATGACAACAGATATGACAACCGCACACAATTAGCTTCGTCAGCGTGTCCACGATTGATGACCCACTCATGCAGTCAACAACACTTTCATTCAGGAATATCTGCATGCAGATGGGACTGGGTTTTTGAAATGCATGGACAATCATTTTTCATTGTAATTACTCATTCCAGATATTAATAATTACTTTAGCCTTGACCTTATTCTGAAAACTGCTCTTTCTCTTTTTTTTAAAAAAGGTAAATTCTAATTTGAATTTGTTGATTGGGAGTTGAATCTCTCATTTCTGGTTTACGCAAGAATTTATTTTGTGATTGGTTAGATTAAAAATGAAAAATAATAATCCAAATCATTGCTTTTCATTTGATATAACGTTTTTTGTGTCTCAAAGCTCTTCACAAAATTCTTAGTATGAAGTGTAGTGACTCTGTATTTTGTAAGCGAATCTATTGCTGTATAAAGGAAATGCTGGGCAGCTGGTATGACACTTGTATGATAGGATGAATGGTTTCCTTCTGTGTTGGGATTTCTTTTTCCAAACTCTCACCTAATTGTTCTAGCAAATGAATCTGTGAACAGTTTCAATATGCATTGTCATCTGGAATGTCTGCACAGAGAAAATTATATTTCTACACAGGGCATATTTGCCACTGACAATGCTTAAATATGCTTTGTAGTTTGTCAGGGGAGGGAATCTTGCCAGCAGAACATCTTTTAAAATAAACAGCTCCCGGCTGAGAAAAACTAATGCAATACATATTGAGAGTTGAACTTGGCAATATTTAGGTCTGCATAGTCCAGTTGCATTCCAGGCAGCAGCTTTAATATTAATCTTTGCATCTGATGTAGCACCATATTGTGTCGTCGAAACATCTCAAAGAGCTTCACACGATTTATTGTAGGGAGCACTGACCGTGCATTCTCTAGGCAAACACACTAGCTAATTTGTGCACAGCAATGTCCTACAATAAGCCATGAAGTCAATAACCAATTTTATTGGAGGATCGTTTTCCAGGACACCAGGAGAAACTCCCTTCTCTTTCCAAATAGTGCCATGGGATATTTAAAGTTCACTTAAATAGGCAGACAGGATCTTGGCTTAATGTCTCATCTGAAGGATGGTCACCTCTGACCATACAACACACCCCAGCACTGCACTAGACTGTCAGCTTTACCAACTGAGCCGTTTTAGTTGTTCTGTTTTACTATGGGTTTCATACACATTTTATCATACTTCACTATTGCATGTACAACACAACTAATGCTATACTTCACAGTTGCTTCCACAGAGCATTTAAAACATATATTTGCTGATATGGGTAGCAATCCATGATGGGTATTAGAAATAGTTGGGATAATATGCTTTACATTCCACTGGTCTGTCTCAATTAGTCAGCTTGATTCATTTAATATCTTAACCTCGAAGCTACTTGGCTTTTAAGTGTTGTAGCCCCAGTATGATTCAAACATCAGCCATCGTTCTTTAACTACAGGTAAATTGGTGCAGCATTAAAGAAAAAAAATCACTGTCATGAATAACGATATATTTAATCAGGAGCAACAACACTGAAATGTTCTTCAAATAAGGGCTTAAAGAGCATAATTTAAAAGGCATTTTGTTAAAGTATAATTGGCTGTTCTTTCAAATATGATGGCAAATTAAAAGCACAATTCACGCTGTAATGGTAGGAGTGCCACCAAGGAGCAACCAGCCTCTCCAACAATACATGCAGCAGAATGCATTAATGCTCTGTGGGACGCATGATTATTAGGCCTGCCTGGTGATTGGGATTTAAATTATTCATAAATTCTAATTCCTTTTACAGGCAAATTGCTCAGTGCACAGAGGCAACTGAAAAGAAACTGGTTAATTCAGAATATTAACGGGGACTCCACTCTCATTAGCTGTTACCTGTCATTCTGTCTGTCCGTTCATAATACTCTGTCACCGAGATACACGTTTTGAATTGTATGAACCCAATATAATAGCAGGTGAAGGCAGAATATTAATACAAGTATAAAATGCATCAGGTATTGCTGATTGAAACCCACTGTACAATATTCAATAGGACCGCCACGACAATGAGGAAATAGTGCTGCAAACTAATTTCTCTACAGTGTTACTCTGTGAAATATCCTTGATTTTCCCATTTGAAGATTTCTAAATGAACAGAGCTCAATTTATTTATCCTGCTGTATTGGCATCAAAGAGAATTTAACAAAGAAAAAGGGGAGTCTTCATGGATTGGCATAATGCAGGATTCTGATCATTTTACTTCCTAGCACTCTTAAAGGACGATCAGAATTATAACATTTTCACAAGAGTGGTCAGAGAAACTTTCATTTTTTTCCGTTTGGTTCTGAGACCAAATATCATCTCTTCCTCAGTTGACAATATATTCAAACTTTCCAAAGGCCCCCTTATTGGCTAAATGACAGTGTACTGAAATTTATTGAAGGTATCTGCAGGAATATCTTTAGACTGCAGTGTAGACACTACAAAAAAAAATCCATCAGCCATTACATTTTCTTAATTTGATATGACCCTTATTCCCCATGCGTCCTTACCAGAGTTCTTTTCACCTTAAAATAAACTGGTGCTAAAATAAAACGGAATTAAGCAAACTTCATCATCTGTATTTGTTACAAAGTGCTGAAAGTGCTGCGTTCAGCAATTGCCTACGTCCTTGTACTAAGATAAGTAATGTGCAGTTGTAATACATTTCTTTAGTAGCTATAAAATGGAATGCAATAATATAGGACTGTACCTCTCCTTTAGATTTCAGTAGGATTCTTATGTTCATTAGCCACTCTCCATAGAATTCTCTCTCAGATAGGAGAATGAAGCACCTCGGTGCATCTGCAGATAAAGAAAAATTAATTTAGACCCCTCTAAATGTCAGCATGCTTCTCTTTGGCCAGGTATCGTCGCACAGGAAATACAAGCGAATGAGACCTGCTCTTTCTGTGATTTGCTCACTCATTTCCACCTCCTAATTTGTTTAGATAAATTTCATAGAAGTGAAGGAACGCCTAATGTCTTCTTACTTGTGCTGAAAATACCTGCCTTGATTTGAATTGTACTGTTTCATCTCCACAACTCATGGATCTTATGTGCAACATAATCTGGTATTGCATTCATGTAATAATGCCTGAAACGTTTGTTATCTGATTGTTTCAAAATGAGACTAGAGAATGCTGCTAGTGTTTTTTTTTACCTGGCATTTTAATCAGTTTCTTCACGAATGTAAAAGCTGTCAAACAGTATCTCTCTTTCAATTGTCTCGGTGTCAACTTTTCATCAATTTCGTACATTCAAAATCATCCAACCAGGAATTTCCGTGCACATAGGCTGATTTAAGAGAATTGCTGGTAAACAGATTGCTGCAGCAAAGGTAAGCATTTTACAAGCAAGATAATCTGGGTTATTTACAGGATAAAGCCAGAAGTTCAAACAATGCAGTGTTACAATTTATAGAGTTTGGACCCAGTTGAGAGAAATGAATACAGCAACTTGCATTCATTCACGTTTTCTAATCCAGTGACTCGATGTCTTTCATGACTTTCATTGTGTGTGAACAGCTACTGCCAGTAAATGTAGATAGTCAACATATTTAGCCAATAGCCAACACGCAGAATTAGAGAAACTAATTATAATATAGTGAGTGAGGACCAAACTACTTTGCTACCCATTGTGTAGCAACAAACTTCACACTTCCAAAGGCAAAAATAGATGACTGATGAACAATAGGTGCAGTTGTTCAGCTACAAATTAGCCAGTCACTATATTTTACAGTCAAAATCCTGTAAAACATGTCAAGGAGTGCTAAGGAGCTATACCCAATGCAGGGAATAGTTTTGTTAAAATTCACATTACATACAGGAAAGTGACCTACTTAACTCAGAATTGGCTCATGAGTTGTACCATTCTCATTCGTACACTTTTAGTCTTAGTTCAGTACATTTCAACTTCTAAGTTCAATCTTCTCCGTTGTCAAAGATCGCCTGTTGTTCTATCCCAATTTGGATTTTTTTTCAAAACATCATGAGAAACGCTTAGATGAAGATGATCCTTTGACCTATTTGATTTCACCTTTCAAATAGCAACCCTACTGCCTTCCTTTTGCAAAGTTTAGCTGGTTCTTAAATGAATGTAATATTCTGCCTTCAACCATGCATCTGTGAAAACTATCCCAGCTGTGGATTAACTGCAGTGTTAAGTGTATGCTCTTGGGATATGTGGAACAAAACAGGGAAATGGGACTAGAGAAAATGGTACCAGTTGGGTGGTCAGTGCCAACACAGAAAGCACTCTATGGTATATGTCCTAAATTTCTCTTTCATAACTGAACTTGGGCTCACTTGACCTTCTGCCTTGGCGCATCTGAAAATATTGTTCTGGGTTTACTTTCTCAATCCCATTTAGCATCTTGTATAGCTCTACAAAGTCCCTTTGGGATATCTCTTTTCAAGGCTAAAGAGCCCTAGCTTATCTAGTCATTCCTCATAGCTCATCCCTCCAAACCCCAAGGATTAGGCTTGTTGCTCTTATCACTACTGTCTTTGGGGCCTAGGTGGCCTCTTGGCACCTAAAACTCTATGTAGTACTCGAAATGCTGCCTGACTAGAGCATTTTACAGTTTGAGAGATCAGAATTCAGCAGATTTTGCATTATAGCCCAGCACCCAGTTTGTGTTGTTTATGGCTGCCTCACACTGTCCAGACATGGTGAGCAACAAGTCAATTTACATCCCATAACCTTGCTGGAAGTTCAAAAAAGTCTGCTTACAAAACACTCCCTTCAGACATTTTATGTTCATTATTGGTCAGGATATAAATGGCAATTATATGTTAAGTAAAATCCAAATTCACCATATCACACAAATACGATCTGAGGCCGAACAAAGTCCACAGAGTGCAAATGTATGCTTCAGGTTTATTGTATTTTTATCTACATCAATATTAAAATTATATCATTATCAATACTATAATATTCTATCAAATTATTATACTCGGTGCATAATGTTGAAAGAGTTTCTTGGTGTACTGTGGACTACACATTTAGTTTAAACACAAATTTAATTTATGTTTCATGACCGACTGCGCACGGGGCTGCAAAGAAATGTAAACAGACAAAAATATAGATGCAGAGTGAAGGCGGGCATTAGGTACCAGGATAGAAAGAGAGCCAGTAGAATGAAAATTAATATGGCATCTGTAATTTGGAAACCATTCTGTTGATAGAAAGTTTTTTTGTATCAATCAGACTATTCAGGTTAGATTGTGACTTTAGTTCTCTCCCAAAAATTAGCAATAGTGGACTCTTGACATCTTGACAAATCCAGGGTCATACCTGTACCAATTGAACAAGTGAGAGTGTACCAATCGCACAACCTGCTCGCATAGCACTGGAAATTGAGCTGGCAACACTCTGCACATACATGCTCAAGCATATGCATGGAGTATGATCTTCCAGCCTCCTGTACTGCCTATGTGTTTTCCTACTGATTGAAAAGAGCTGACTGGTTGAAAATAACTGACTGCTGGAAAAGAGCTGAGCAGTTCAAAATAGAAAGCCAGTCACCTGTATTGCTGAAGAGATTTTTTTATACAAAAAATGAAAAGCAGACTTCACACTGTATATACAGCTATACAGTGGGCAGTGAGACGCAAGCCTGCTGTGAGATGGCCTGTTGGAGGCAGTCGCCACATATGCTAATACGTAATGATCAGGCCAACACCAATTGGCGCAACCAAATTCCCATCATGGGGCCAATGCTGAACGCACAGTGCATTGACAGGATTAATTGCTGTCTACAAGCGCATACTGTGTTTTGCAGCTGAACTGTGAAGCTGTTTTGGCTTTTTAATTTTGGGAGCTACTCAACAACCTTTTCAGCTTTGCTCAATCAAATCTGTCAATAGGGTTCCCTCTACCTGCAATTGTTTCTCTCACTGCAGACTTGTTTTTTCCTGCCTCTCCTCTCCTGAAGATTTTTGAATATGTTTTCCTCTTTTTTTTTAACTCGTACACCAATCACCCTCTGATATTATGTCAAAGTTGTGATTATGTGTGTAATAGGAAACATAGGAAAACAGGAAGAGGAGGAGACCCATTCAACCATCAAACTTGTTCCATTAGTTTATTAGATTTTGGCTGATGATTTGATCCCAATGCCCCATTCATTCACCATAACCCAAAATACCACTACTGCCCAAGCATCCGTCTAAATTTCTTTTAAACGTCCCTATTAATTCCACCTCTACAGATTTCTGGGGCAGAGCACAACCCTTTGTGTGAGGAAATGTTTTCTGACCTCAGTTATAACTGTCTTAGTTCTGATTTTAAGGCTATGCCCCTTGTAATGGAGCTCTCTACCAAAGGGAAGAGTCGTGCACTATTTAATCTGCCAATTATTTTCAGAATATAACCCCAGTCTACTCAGTTTCTTATAGCAATCTGGAGCAGGAACCCTGGCTGATTTTCTTTCCAACCCCCAACCCAGGGGCTCTGAGTTCAATTGTGTTTCCCAAACTGTTGTGCTGGCTGAGATCAGGTTACTAGTGAACTGGGAATTCAATGTCTATAATGGCCTAGTTTGCTCTAGCAGTAGTGCTCTAGGCCATTGGAAGGGTGCTTATTCCTTATACTTGTATTGCATTCTGAAACTATTGCTGTTTTACTGTTTTGCAGTGTAGACAGTCCAGAAAGAAAACACAGAAGTAACTGACTTGAATGCTTGCGTGGCAGAGATAGAAATATAGGGATTACATTAGCGCCATTTCATCACGCGTTCAGCGTGATACATTGAAGCGCTTTGAGAGTTGGCTGGCACATTTCGCCCACAAAATACACAGTCGATTTGCTTTACAGTTTATTCTGTGAAGCGCTTTGAGACGTCTGAACAACGTGATAAGGTGATCTATCAAATGCAAAGATTATTATTTTCCTCTCAACATGAAAGGAGTAATATAAATGTAAATTGTTGTTGTGATAAAAGGCCAGTCATTCCATCTCAGACATAGTGTAAGGATAGACTGATAGTGACAACCAGTTTAGAGAGTTTATGATTCAGATATGGACAGGCAGACACACTAATGGTTAGATAAAGAACTAGAAATGGAATGACCAATTCCCCAGCTATAACAATTATCATTGATAATATCAAAGAATTAACAATCCTGTCAACTTTTTAAAAAATATTTAAACGTAAAGATAATAGGTGGGACTTTTTTTAAACTTCAGAAATAAGCTTTTATTTTGCAGTTATAATGTAACCCATGTGAATCCTAAGTAATATGAAACTACAGTTAAGTATCAATAGCTGGTCGCTCCAAGGGAAAGACCACAGTGAACAGTTATCAGGAGTTGGGCAAAGGTCCTTCTGGTCTATTGGACGGTTGCTCCATGAGCTCCCATCCTATCCTGTTGCAGAGGGCTGGGCTGTGGTCTCCCATCCTTTCCTGTCACAGGATAGGGAGAGAGGCCTCTGCAATGCAAGATGCCTTCTTATAAGAGGAGTTATCTGAAATAAGTACTTATAATAATTTCTAGAATCTAACTACAGTAGTTACTTGTGGGTGACAAGTAAAGCGGGGTCCCTTAAAAACAATTTTCATGGGAATTGGCCGGGTTATTAACAACACAGCTATTTAAGTGGTAGTGACAAGTTAAGCCAGGGTTTTGATATAATGACACAACATCCATGGTGGATATCATTTAAGAACAACATTCAAGTCCTTTAAATTACTAGAGACTAGAAATTGCCTTAGGAGTTAACAACACATATTGCGAAATACCTATTCTTTTGCATGAAATACAATGTTTTGGGAACATCTTGTCCCAAAGATTTTGTACCT